TAATCATATAAAGAGATAAATGTATTTAATCTTCATCAATATTAAACTTTGATGATAAGTTATTGCTTTAAATATTAATATCTGAATATTTAAAAATTAACAAAATAAAGTTAGAATTAAAATATAAATATCTGGTCAAATAAATGAAATATACGAATTAAAAAATTTGTTTTATGATCGATTTTATTCTTGGCAATTATAACCAGAGAAAAACTTTAAAATTTTAATAAGAATTTAATTAAAAATAAAACTATTTTCTTGGATATGTATATGACTTTTTAAATAAAGCAAAAATTAATGATTATTAACACGTTATTCTTTACAAAAAAATCTAACAGATATGACTTTTAGAAAAAAAATGACGATGTTTTTTAAATAATTTTATTTTAAATTTAGATAGAAAATGTTTCATGGTTTTGTTTAATATCTTCAATAAAAAAAAATCAATTCATATATATATATATATGATAGTGTACTAAATTTCTTCATGTCATCGGCAGTACTATTTGGATAAAATTTCCATTTTTTTTATAAATAAATAAATAAATATTTTGTCTCTAAAATTCTAAGTTAATATCAATATTTGAGCAAACAAGAGATTTAAAAGAATAAATAACTTATCCAGAAGAATAAACTTTGAAGAAAATTTCTTCGTATCATCAAAAGTCTCAAACATAACTTTTTAGTAAAACAATATTTTTATTAATACACAATCAATAGAAAACTTAACCCATTACTACACACTGATGTGCTCAGCCACAGTATAAATATCGAATTCTTAGTTATAAATTATTGATCTCATTGATGAATCAAACTTCGTTGTATTTTTCTTTTTATATAAAACTATTTCGATCTTCATTTAACATAAATTAACAAAAATATTAAATGGTACATAGTGTATCTATTCAGTCATCTTAATACAATACGATTTAATAAGACCTTATTCTTCAGAAAATTTCATGATAAAGCTTATCTATCATGTCATCAAACAATTTCGTTAGAATCATCATTGGTGTCATTGGAACCGGCAGGAGAGCGAATCGCGATGGGTTAAAAGTAAAAATAGTTCCGTTGTGACCTGAATTGACTGATTTTCCGAGGATCCGAGGACAGAATCGAGCTCAAAAGGTGTCCATTCAATAGAGCTCGTCGAGTTCTATCTGAAATCGCGATTGGTTTTGTTGGCCAATTGGCAAACGAGCGAATTGCGACGGTTTATTCTTTTTTTTCACTTTTTGCGTATGTTTTTTTGTAGCAAAATGGAGTTTTTGTTGTGAAGGAAGGGTTGTTTCCGGGAGAAAAATCGTGGAATCGATAGATTTCATTGAGATCTACTTGGAACTAGCATTGGTCTAGTTGGAACCGACTTTAGTGCGAACCGTGCTGGGAAATACTCGAATCCTGAGCTAAGATATCCTACGTGATTTGAACACCGACAACGCCTTCAAAAATGCCTATTTTTGTTTTTCGTTAATATTCAGTGGTCACCTTATGTTTCGATGTTCTCAGCATCATTTCTACAGGTTGAGGCACGGGACGTTCCAAAAGATACAAGAAAAGTCCTCTAAAATTCTGTTCAAAAGACATCATTTTAGGGATATGGAGATTGTTTTGATCGGCCGCACATCGTTACTTCCGCACGCGCACGTGCATACTAACCCGATCACCCACACTTACACTCTACTCGTCTGGATGGATTGCAAATTTCCCACTGATATTCAAAAATCAAGATTTTGTTAATTCATTAGAGAGAACTTGATGTCATCCCAATACTCTTGTTTATCAACTTGTGCAGCTTTGCATATAGATACATAGATATCAACAAAAGATTCTCAGGAACAAGATAGCTCATATATCCGTTGCCAATTCTACCTGTTAACCTTGAACAAATAGAAATCACATTGTATTCATAATGATGACCTGGGAGTCTATGTGGCAACACTAGACTTAATCTAGTATATTTCTTTCTTCATAATACATTTGCATTGATTCATAATGTTATTTCTCTATCATCTGTTACGCTAAAATGTTTTCAATCACTTACTTTTTCACACTATCCTGTTCTTTCATTAACTATCATTCACTGTTTCTCCTCGCATCGTCTATGATTTTATTGGATATATTAGCAGATCTCTAGTGAATTACAGATTTTTCTCTGACGAGGGAACCTCTCAAGGTGCTAAAAAGCTTTTGAGCTCAAATTTTGCCCGTAAGTAGAGGACATATAGACTAGAAAAATTCTAGGAGAATATGGACGCAGGTTGCGATTTGGCTGAGATATTGACTTTTTACTACAATCTTACTATAGGACTCGACTTTGCCGATAAACTTAAAGTTTCGAATTTTGATCTGAAACTCAGCATAAATCAAGGTCTCAATCAGACTAGCATATCTACAAAGTTTCAGAATTTCTGGATGAATTATCTCCGAGATATGAATTTTCCAACATATTCGTGCATAATGCAATATCTATGACAAGCATCTATAAGCTAACACACTGACATCTCGAAGATAATTTATCCAGAAATTCTGGAACTTTATAGGCAAGCTAGTCTGATTGAGACCTCGATGTATGTAAAGTTTCGGGTCAAAACTCGAAACTTGGATTTTATCGGCAAAGTCGAGTCCTATAGTAAGATTGTAGTAAAAAGTCGATATCTCGGTCAAATTACAACTTGCGTCCATATCCTCTTGGAGTTTTCCTAGTCTATACATTTTCTAGCTATGGACAAAATTTGAGCTCAAAAGCTTTTTAGCACCTGGAGAGGTTCCCTTGTCAGATATAGTCTTAGGTATCTTTAAAAAAGCTTTCAGCCCAATCGAATAAAGTTTGATGAGGATCATAATGTAGCAGGATGTGATCATATAAAAACCAGAATTTTTCAGAAAACAAAAACCTCAAAAACCCCCTTCAAATTTTTTTTTCCTCGAACATAAGTCTCCTTATATGTAGTGCTTTATATATGGTAAAAACTTCAGCTTGATCGGTTGTATGGTGTTCGATCACCAGAAACGGTCAAAAAGAGGAGAATACTCTTAAATACATTGTTCATACTACTAATTTTAATTAAAAAAAACTTGTATAAATAAAACATTCTTTAGCTTTTCTATTAAGAAGACGAATTACTTTTGTTGTTTTGTATTGTTTATAAGATTAATCACATCAGATAACAGAAATAAATCTTTGAAAAGCAAATATAAAACAACAAATTTATGAAAATGCTCTTTTCAAGGTTTTTCTTTTCCTTTCTTTTTACGCTTATTATAAAAAATATCAAATGCGTATATCAAGAAAAAAAAGGTATGCAATAACCTTGTATTATTCATATATCATTTGAGAGAACTATTTATACATTTTTTATATGAAAACTGAAATCGATAAACAAATTGTAATTGTAACTCAACTTGATGATGAACAATGTATTGAATCAACAAAAGAAAAATTAAATGAACAAAAAATTCGTTTCAATAAACATTTAAAAACAATTCCTGAATTATATTCACAAGATGATGATGATGATGATCATAATTCAGAATATATTGATGGTTTTCGAATGAAATGTCGTTTTATGAAATCAAATCATATGTTATTATTTACTAACGAACAAGATCGTCTTATTGAAATAACTGAACCAACACGACGTCACCCGTATATTGATGTTCATAAACATTATCCTATAAATTCATTTGATTTATGTATGTTATCGATTCGTTTAACTCATAAATCAATGTCTGTCAATGATTGGTGGACACTTTTTAAGACCTTAATAACAACATCGAATGTTGATAGTAATGAAAAACAAATTCAATTGCTTTGTGCACCAGCTTTTAACTTACCTTTACCGAAACAGATAGCACTTCAATCGGCTTGTTTAATAGAATTCTATGAAAAATTTAAAACAACTATATTTTCAATTTATCGACCATCAACATCAAGCCTATTGTCAACTATAAGCCATATTACTCCAGCTATACAATTATCATTTCGACCGAAAATTCTTCAATGGTTTGACGAAAGAATTCAAAATCATAAACGTTTAAAAGATCTTTTAAATAATAATTGTTTATGTTTAGTTGCTTGTGGATCTAAAAAAACTTCATTTCAATATGATTTTTCTCTTATTGAATTTCATATTATTAAACAATTTAACGCAAGTGAATCTCAATTAAATATACTTGTTAAAAAATTTGCTATGAAATATTTACATTGTTCATTAGATAATTATTTTCTTCGTACAACTATTTTATGGATATGTGAAATACATGATCTTGAAAATTATCATGATATATTTGAAGTTTGGATATCATTTATGCGTGATGTATGTCGAAAACGGTTTTTAGAACATTATTTTCTTGAAAATGTTAACATATATGAAAGACATTCTGGTTTAGAAGATATAATCAATACGGTTGATTATAAAAATATTGATTTATTTGTTGAAAAGCTCGAAGAAAATCTTATTTTTCCCTATTTTCATCAATATAATGATCGTCTGAAAAATTTAATAAAATTTTTTGAATCTCAACCTGTTTTAGCTTTTAAAATGAAAGTAATTTATAATGTTATTGTTAAATCAAAATTTTTTAATGCTGATAATTCATTACATGAAATGTGTAGTATACTTTGTCATTTATCATTTTTAGAAGATAATGATCTAGGACATATAATTGATTTTTGGTCTCAACAATGGAAACCATTATTTATCAATTTTGATCGAGATGATATTGTTCTTCAACAACCATCAGTCGGTTATCAACCAGATCAATTAGCTCAACAAATGACAACAAGTGTATTTAAACTTATTCAAATAGATTTAAATCAAATGATTAATTCAATTCAATCAAATCCATAATTAAAGAAAATGAAAAGAACATTTATTTATTTTTTGATTAAGAAAAAACAAAAAGAGAAACAACAAGACACAAGACTAGACTAATTAGTGCAAAAAAATAATGATATCACATATGACAGAAAAATTAAAATATATTTTATTTTGAATTTATTCAATTCGAGATTCAGCTATGTTTAATATAATTTGAATAGATTTTTGTGCTTTTTGAAAGTACATATTTGCTTCTTCTTGATAACTGTTTTGTGATTTCTAAATAAAATTTTATAAATATAATAATATTTTCTTCAAAATTTAATTGTTTACTTTTGTTTGTAATTCGTTATCATTATTATTATCAGTACTTTTAAGTAATGATAAAGAAAATATTTCAATACGTTTACATGCACCATATATTGCTGTTTCAAGACATTTAATACCAACCTATGATTGTGATATGATATTTTATTTTATTTATATTAATAAAAACTTACAAGAAAATCTGCTTTTGTACTTATGTTAAATAATGATGCTAATCGTTGAAGTGGTTCCCATAAATCATTAATATGACGCATGACATCCATTGAAACCTCAAGACATCGTTGTAAACAACGATCTTCGGTTATTTGTTTACTGTAATAAAAAAATATTAAAATAACAATTGTTCATTATCAAAAAAATTTTTCAAAAAAGAAAATTTTCCATTTAAAACTCGGATTTTACTATCACTATTGTATTGCAATAGAAGGTTGAAATCTTCTATCAACTTTATATTTTTTTAGTAAATAACAAATAAAAAGAATTCGAGTGACTGAACAAGAAAATTTTGTCAAGCTCGGGGATGTGTCCGAGCAAGGGAAGTTAGGGAGGGACTCTTCAATCTTGAAAAATTTTCCTTTTTCTGTCGCGGAGTTCCAACGTTTTATGATGTTTTTTTTATATTTAAAAAAAAACATAAGCTTAAAAATTCTTTCATTTTTTCGGTCAAAGTTTGTCATGACAGACTAGACTCCAATAGAAATAGAGAACACTACCGAACTCTACAACTTCCTAGATTTAAGTAGGCTTCAATTAAAGCTGAACATAACTTAATAAAGATATATAAAATTAGTTCTTTTTTCATCTTTTACAATATTTTTAATTTTTAAATCTTTTAAAACCTTCAAATCTATGCACTATGGTTTATATTTTAAATTCGAAGAATATTTTTTTCTTTTCCTTTTTAATTCTAAACTTACAAATGTTTTTCTTCGTCATTTGTTTCTGCCATTTTTTGTACTGTCATATATGCATTAAGAAGTTCCGTATCGGTTTCTAAAGTATCCATTAATATTTTCGTAGTTGTATGTAATGGTGCGATGATTATTCGCATTTCTGGTTCTAATGATTCCCACTAATAAATAAAAAATAATTCAACTCTAATTTTTTCATTCAATTTAATATTTTACTTTTCTCATTCCATATGTAAGTAATGCACACATTGTACTAAGTGCTGTACCAAGTGTTGCTACAAGTGATGTAACACAACTACCACCAGGTACTAATGTACGTGCACTGATATGTTTAATTAAATCTTTTATTTCCATTGAATTAATTGTGTCATCATGTCCTTCACGATCACGTATAATATATTCAATAATACGTTCTTTTGGTATAAATGGTGCTATAGAATTTAAACCTAAACGTTGTATAATTAAACGAAGTTTTTGATCATCATCAAGAATAAATAAATTTTCTTTTTTAATAAAATATTCTGCAGCCATTAGTAATGGTCGTAATGGTACAAGACCAACTATTTGTGAACCACATACACCTATATTTAACATTTCAGCTTCGGCTACACATTGTAAATAAGCTGTATGTATATTTGTTATTTCAAAATCTGTTAAATTAAGTGAGATTTGAGATAAATTTGCTTCTTCAAGCCACCAACCAAGACCACGAACACATTGTAATTTACCTGGCTAGAAAATAAAAATTGATTTTATATTATTTTCTTAGTTTTCTTTTTTTTTCTTGTCAATGTTTACTTCTTCTTTGCTTCGTCCTTGTTCACGAACATTTAATGCAATACGATGAGCTTGTTCTTTTGTACCAAGTAAATTGATATTATATGCAATTAAAAATTTTCGTGCGCCAACACATGTTGCACCCCATGTCGGAATGAATTCACTAGGCCCTAGTTAATATTTATTTATTTATTCATATAGAAAAACAAAGAAATTAAGATCTTACCAAAATCTGGTTGCCATTCTGGTTTTCGAATCTAAATAAAACCAAATAAAAAAATAATAAAAAGTTGTTAGAACAATCGCTGTAGGGATTGAAATGTGAAATTCGATTAATTTGCCTATATTGTAAATCAAAGGATTCTGTAATATATATGCTTCAGTTTTGGAACTTTCAATATATGGATACGTTCGTGATGAAAGATATTATTCGTTACATGTTACAGTGATCGAGGATGAGGATTACAGTCACATAGATGACCAAATATGGTAATGTATACTGGTGTTTCATACAGTTTCTCGTCATAAAAAAAAGCTTTAGTTCCGCGGCAAAGTTTACGCAGGGACAACGACGTTCTTGAAAAGTCTGTCACGATCTGTGATGGATCCAAATTATACCCCTATATTTCAACATTCCTTTTAAACAGTATTTCACAAAAATTTACTTTATTATAAAGTGCTTCATATTCTCCATCACGAATTTGAGATAAGTCTCGACGATATTCTCGTTCTTGTGCTTCACCATACAAATAAACAGGTACACTAAGTTCCATAGCTAAACGATCAGCAAATTCACGTGCTATATCAATACAATCAGCCATTGTTGCATTTTGTACAGGTACAAATGGTACAACATCCTAAAAAACCAGTAGAAAATTTTTTTTTAGTATGTCAAATTGCGAAAATTAATCTCGTATGTAAATTGATCCATAAGTAATATTCAATTATTATTCTTATAAAATAATTCAATCGTCATTTACCATTGCTCCAATACGAGGATGTTCACCACTATGTTTCGTCATATCAATTAAATTATATGCAGCTCGACCAGCAGCTAGAGCTGCTTCAATTACAGCTTGTGGATGTCCAACAAAGGCTAAAAACAAAAAAAAGAAGACAAACAAAGTTTATTATATGCAATCATTAATTGTTTTTCTTTCTTTACTATAGATTGTTCGATTTGTTGACAAGCCTGGATCAATATCAAGTAAGGCAACACCTTCAACACCTGCAATAGCATGGGCTATTGTATCAATAATCTAAAACAAATAATTTATTTTATTGCTCATAATCAAATCTATCAATTACCTCTTTTCGTTGACCTTCAGAAAAATTTGGTACACATTCAATTACTTTCTGCATCTCGTTTATTAATAAACTTTGAATATAAAAAAAATAGAAAGAAATTAGGAAAAGGTGTATAGCAGCTGATTGTTTCTTTTTTTTTGAATTTTTTTATTTCCTTTTTTCTCTTATTCTGTTGTTGATTGACGAAGTCGACTGTAAAATATATACAATAGTTTCTTTTACTTTTCTTTCTCGTCTTACTATGAATACACAATTGACGAGAAAGGAAGCTGCACACCCGAGAGAGAAGTATGCTACGAAGTTGTCAAGTTGCATTCATTTTTTTTTCCTTCTTTTTTTTTCTCACTCACTCTCTCTATTTCGCTCACCATCACCATCATTTTGTTCATGAATAAGAACGACATAATAGCGTCAAAGTAAGAACAATCTACATTTTATCGAAGTAAAAACTATAAAAAGAAAAAAAAACCAAGAAAAGCAACTGATGACAATTATTGCTTAGAAACGGTTGCTTTTATAAAATTAAAATGTAGGGAAATAAACTCTCCCTTTAGTTATACATAAGTGAAAAGAAAAAGAATTAAATAATAGATATTGTTCATAGTTTTATTAAATTAGATTTAAACTAAAAAACGATAACATAAATAAAATTTATATATGATGATACATGTTTAAAATGTTTTTTTGTCATTTTCATAGGATCAATGATTAATGTTTGAAGTATTTTAATCTCCAACAGTATACAGGAAAATACTTTTTCCGTTTTGTAAGATTTTCAATCAGACTTTATATAATACTTTCTAATTTCCTTTGTATATAACTCTATTAAAAAAATATGCAACTACTAAGGTACGGAAGAATGATGATAAAATTTCATCTATCATATTTCTTTCTTACAAATGTAATATTTATCTTTTTGTTTTCAATATGACATAAATGAATATCAATATAATATGTATATTTTTTTGTTGAAAGAATATCAATAGGATATATAGAATTTCTTTTAATATTCATTATATAATCAAATTAAATTCACTAACATTCATATTTTCAAGCTACATCATTAAATGAAAGAATGATCATTTATCTAATTTATGTAATTCGAAAGGAATATTCATTATTTAGAGAAGACATAACAAGATTTATGCTTTGTTTTTTTTTGTCAAGTACAAATAAAAAGAAGCATGTTAATATTCTGCATACAATAATTTACTATATTTCTAAAAAAAATATTTATTGAACATAACTTTGAAAAACATAAGCCATGTGCCATACAACAATACTAAAAAATACTCCTTTAGTCTACTAATTATATTTATCAATTTAGTGTGTTGTTGCAGGGTTAGAAAATCTGTCTGTCAGTGGGAGTGGCTCTACCAAGAAAAAGCAACCTATCCAGAAAAATAAAGAAATCTTGTCTAGGGAAGATTCAATAGGATTTGCTTCCCAGCATTATTGATTGTATGCTAGTTGATAAACTGCATTATGAATTCGATTCATTTTGGATATTAATTTATTGATATACGTATATTGATAGAGGATAGGTAATAATGATTGTCTTTATTCATGATTAAGATAAGACATCATTTCATCGATTGCTTTTTTTCTCACTTGAATGGACATCTTCATTTTCATTTGATTGTTGTAGGAATGAAGATGGGGATGTGAATGGCGAAATTGAAAAACAACTTGAATTAGATGATTCAATTTCAATAAGTCCAATTCGAGTGTTTTTATGAATTATTCTAGGTCGATTTGAAATATTTGTAATTGTCATTAGTACTTTATAGTTTTTTGACATTAATCAATGCATGTGACATCAATATTGAATCTTGATATAAAAAATGAGGTGTTGGAATAAACTGGAATGTGTTGCAATTAGGTAAATCGGTAATTTTAACGTCAATAATTCTTGCTTTCATTGGATTCTATGTGAATTTATTGCACATACGAACACGATGATGTTGATTAATATTAATTCCTAAAAGAGTTATAGATGATTTTTTATCATTAAACGAAATAGAAAGTGAATTCGTATCGAAGTCGATATTAGCTTTATAAAGGCCAGATGTAAGCCAGTCAATATCTAATATAATACCAGTGCAGAAATTTTCTAAAACCAATAATTTTGCTGTTGTTTGAATCGAACCGATTTTGATTTTCAGTTTGACATAGCGTTCAGAATACATTAGAGTGTGGTTAACTACTATTATCGATTTTTTTTCAAATGTAAATAAGTGAAAAAAAATTGAAATTCATTATCGAATATGTGTTTACTGAAAAATGAATGTGATGCACTAGTGTCAACGCAGATCGTAGATAATCGACCACCGATTGATGCTTGAATGTATGATGATTGTGATGTATGTCACATAGAGACAAAATGACGACCTTGTGTTCCCGCTAACTTTTTTTTGAATTATTATTTGTTGTTGTTGCTGAATATGAGCTAGTTGATGTCCAGTGACTTGATTTACATTGATTCTAATGTTGGTCATAGTTGTTTCTTGATTGATAATTTGGATTCGATTAATAAATTTGTGGATTTCTTGCTTGTTGTTGCTGATACTGATAATGATAATTATTTCGACGACAATAATGATGAGAATTATTATGATATGATGGTAATGCGTAACAATTACTATCATAAATGGTTGATCGAAAGTAAATGAGAAAAGTGGCAATTCGACTTGGTCTTCATTATTCCCAACGCTCAACATTGCTTCAATGTCTTCGATTTTTTTCATTGTGTTTCTTAATTCATGCATGGATTGTAGTTGTTTATCAAATATTTTTTTCGTTTAATGATGGTTTAATACCAGCTTTGACGTGTAACATTTTCTCTTGTTCCGTCATTGAAAGATTCACTGTCCCACACCCGCAGCCGCACATCCTCAAATATGAATTATAAGAGCTTCTTGATAGCATAATCGGTTACAAAAATTAGGATTATCGATCCAAAATTTTCTTTTCTCTCTCTCTCTCCTACGAAAACAGCTAGTATAAAAATCTCCTGACACAAGGCCAGAAGCAATGTGGCATTTGAACTAAGTACATAATTTTGAATACTCTATCAGATAGTGGACTCAAAAAGTCAAGAAGATGATGCATCAAGGTTTTTAAAGGTTTTATGAAAGAATTTTCTGGAATTTTGAAGCTTTCAATGGAAATTGTGTTCATTATCGTGTTTATCAGATCAAATAAACTTTGTGTATAGCTCTGTAACAAACTAAATATTATTGATATGTCGAATTGGGACATTGATTTCTGTGATTAACCGTATAGATCAGAGATAGGCAAGTCAAGTCAAAAATGACTTAAGCAAAAGTCAATTCAATTCATTTTGACTTGCTTCGACTTGACTTGAAAAATTTTCAGACGATTCGTGACTTGACTTTGACTTCTTGAAGAAAATTTTTGAATGAGTCAAGACTTGGCTTGACTTGTGACTTGACAAAACAATTACAGGTCAAGTCACATATATTTTTTGGAGCTCAAATGTATATATAGTTTTTCTTGTTTGACATGTTTATCGAATTAAAAATAACAATCTTCAAAAGCAATATAAAAAAAAATTTTGACTTGTAACTTGGCATTTTTTTCCTATCTTTATTTCTATTAACATTCAATATGATTGACTTGTGAGCATAAGAAAAAGAACGAGTTCTCCATATTAACAAGTATATAAAGACATTTATTTAACGATAAAATATGTCCATATCTTCACCTATTCATTTGGTTAAGTAAACAATGGATTTATTTTCTAGATGAGATACTTTCAAATAGAATTAATATCTATGCAAACATATCAGCAAAATTATATACTCTATTTTCACAATGGCATAGGTATCGTTCAATAATCGAGCATATTAATAATCATCAGTGATAGTTCATATTATAAATAAGATGTTAACGATTTTCTCGTATTCTGTGAAATAAGTAACGAAGAGCTTAAGAAAAAAGAAAAATATTCAGTAATTATATTAACTCATTATAAACATGTGCCGAACCTGAACTCTAGCTTGGTGCTCAGAACAGATGGTTCGCATTCGGCTTCAGAAACTATCCAATCAGTCAAGATAGTATCGAGTATTCGGATAATTTTCCAAGTATTTTTTGAGTTATATATTGACAATCATGAAAGCATCCTAGAGTTCGAGTTCGAACATTTCTGAATATTGTTGACTTGTTTTTTTTAGGATGTTTGCAGACCTTCGATTTTTGGATTATTTATTGCAGCATATGTAGATCTATCATAGTCAAGCCAAAAATCCTTTCTTTTGACTTACTTCTAACTCCTTTTATCAATTAATTGAAAATGGCCTCAATCAAGATCGAGCTCTAACTTTTAGGTTTGGTGCATACCGAATTACTTGCTCGTGACATTCAAATATAAAAATATGTCGAACATTTTGTTAGAATAATTATTCATTGAGAAGCATGACAGACTTGTTTTTTTAAAATTCTTTACAGAAACAACACATAAAACAAGTCAATAAGAAGAAATGAAATTATGAAGTGTTCCATTCAATTGCTTTACAAAATTCTTCTTCAGCAAATTGAAGCATTTTTGATGCTTCGAGATGAAGCTAAAATAAAGAAACAATAAATAGAAAACAAAAATTAATAATATTTGTTTTTTTTTTGAAAAAACCTTTTGTTTTTTAAGTATATCAATTAATTTTAATTGTCTTTTAAATGCATTCATTAATTCTAATCGTTGTTTTTCTAATCGACGATTTTCATTTGTTAATTGTTCGATTTTTTTTTTATCTTGTTCACTAAGATCTTTTGTTGTTTGTTGCATTTTATTTAATTGTTGTTTATATCTTTCAGCTTCTTCTAAAGCACGATTTAATTTTGTATCGGTTTGTGTTTGATCTTGGTGTTGTTTTTTTGTTTGACGTTTTGTTTGTTCATATTCTTTTCGTAAAGAATTAAGTTCAATTTCAGTTGTATCAAGTTTGGATTTTGTATCACTACTTAATTTTTTATATTTTTCTAATTGATCTTGTAATGTTGTTATAACACGATTAAGACGTGTTCGATCATCATCAGATTCTTTTACTTTTAAATTTATACGTTCGTTTTCTTCTTCCTAAAAGATAAAGTAAAATTGAAAATAACAAGTTTTAACAATCGATTATTGATTTTATAGTTACATCAAAAATGATTTCACATGTTTTTAATAAGAATATATTGATATCAGAGATCCACAAGACAATCTCGCGCTCTTCATCATTTCATGGTTTAGAACTTCTTGGAAGAACATTAAATAAATGCATTCACAAAGCAAAATACGAGAGAGACGTGCGACGCACCTTCGTATAAGCCCCATGGTGCGGTTCAGTGCGAGATTGTTCCGCGGATCTCTCGTTGATATACATTGAATTTATCTTATGTATATGACAACATTAAGGCTAATGAACTGTCGGCTAGATAGTTCTAACAACAACTAGGACTTACTCTGGAAGATGTTACTATAAATCTTAGTATGTATTTGAACATTCAATATTGAGGATGACGAAACAATAGTAAATGATAACGAAGTTAGAGACCATTTAAGCTTCCGTTTTCTAAAATTTCTTACAATTTTTTTGTATAAAAACTATTATCACAATCTCTGCAGGATTAAACTGTGAAACACGACGTAATTGCTGTTGGGAATCACGGAGAAATTGTTGTATTCTATCTATTTTGAGATACATTTCTTCACCATCCTTCTACTTAATCCTCCAGAAATGCAATAAGAAAGTAGTTCATATATTGTAACGAGATGTTATTGATACACGATCTGTGATCATATGCCAACAATGTCTGTCATGGTTTATGGGGATCCAAATTTTTATCCCTATACTACAATACTTCTTTTAGATTGTGTTTCACAAGAAAATAAGTCTGAATCATCTCCAATAAATCTTAAAAGAATAAACTTGTAAGAATAATCAACCTATTCTGTTGAATTTTCTCTTCTTTGTAAAGCCTACAGACTCGTAATTGAAATGATGATTGATTCATCTAGATATTGAAAAATTTAGGTATACTCAATAAGACTCGATTGGATTTCATCTTTTTGTTCGTTGAGAAAGATAAATTTAACATTTAAAACTTACACGTTTAACGCATTCTGTATGCATTCGTTCGAGTTCTTCTTGCATGACACGAAGACGTGCTTTGAGAAAACGAATTTTAGCCTCTGAGAAAAAAAAAAGCCAAACACAAATTTATTGAATAATTTTTGATTGTTTAAACTTTACCAGAACCCATATCTTTTGCAGCGCCTGGAAAAATATCATCTTCATCATTATCAATAATATTTGTATTGGCACTGATTTTTGTTCGATTGATTTTTGTTTCAATATCAGCAACTGTTTTATCGAATGTACTTCGAGCTTGATCTTGTAAAATAGTACGATCAATTGATTGATCATATCGATTATCATCAACAATAGCAACTTCATCTCCAATTTTTGGACGAAATTTTCTGAAACAAAGAAAAAAACAAATCATATAGTTAAGATAAATTTATTTAAATTGACTTCGTAACAGATGGTTTTCTATTTCTTGCAGATACATTTTCCTGTTGTTGTGTTGGTGATGGATTTTTCTAAAAAAAAAAAAGAAAAAAGAATCAAGTCACATTAGGTTTTTTTTATTATTATTATTTTAATTTTAAATTAAATCTTTACTTTAAGATCTTTTGGTTTCAATGCAGCAGCTTGCAGATCCCTACATATAAAAAAAATTTCAAAAATAATAATCATACAAATGAATATTTTAATTTTCTAACCCGAATAATTGATCATCTGTATCAACTTGATCAAGTAAACTATACGTTCGATCATTATTATCTGTCGAAATGAATCGATTTTGATTTCTCTTGAAGAAAACGAAGGATTTTATAAAAAAAACAATAATTTTATTTAATTAACACTTACTAACACTTGTTCAGCTTCTTCAACAAGTGCCTGTGTTTTTGCTTCAAGTTGTGCATTTAATCGTCTATTTAAATAAAAATTTTTATTTTAATGGCCTTTTTCTTTCTTCTACTTACTTATATTCTTCTTCTTGATCTGTATAATCAGTTTGTTGTTTTGGTGTTCGTGTACTTGGTCTTGATGACGTTGCAGAATATTGTCCTGTTGTACGATTTGATGATTTAGCACTCATCTTTAAATAAAAAAAAAAAGGAAAGAAAAGCAATGTGTATATTTATAAAAAAAGATCTCAATTATGATTTGTGGCAAATAAACAAACATAGGAAGATAAGAATAATTTAATACTATAAAAAAAGAAATGGTAACTAAAGTAAAAAGAAATGTCGTGAAATAAAAAAAAATTATGTATTATTTTGTATTGTGTTTTTTTTTGGTTTAAATAAATAACAATTGAATTATTCAGTATTTTGTTTATAACAGAATAAATATGCACAAAGATGTCATCAAGTGAAAAGTCAAATAATAATAAAAAAAGAAGGAAAAAAACAGAAAATAGTTTTTTTTTCTTTGGTTTTTTAGTGGAATAAAGTTTCAATAATTATCAATTAACGATCATGATGACGGGATTTTGTACTTGGTAAACGAATTGATTGTTGACGTTGATAAGATGTTGGCATTAGAGCATTTGCAACATGAAGTATAGCTGTTCGAGCATAAGGATATACACCGAAAATATTAGTAGTTGATTGTTGTCTCTGAAGACAAAAACAAAAGAAATAAATAGATAAGAAAAATGAAGAAATAACGGATGCATCAGAATAAATGTCTTTCTAACGATGAAAGTTCACCAACTAATTATTCGTTTTTAAGTTGGAACTATATGCACTATGCAGGTCCTATTAGGTTATGAATATTCTGAAAAGAGTACGTACCCTTTAGAGTATTAATGCAGAGAAACTGCAGTTTTACGGTATTTTTCGATACAATGCTATGATTCTCCTCAGAAAACCAGGAAAACTGATTTTTGAATTTCAACTTCAAACTTTGTTTAGACACAAGACTTAGCGAGAATACTTGATTGTGAAAGTAGCAGGCCATTTGATCTGTTCCTGTCCGAAAATAAGAGCACCGATTTCGCAAGTATATATGAGCGATGTAAGAGACGCGCTTTTGCCATGGTTGTAGCTTGGAATAGGATAAATGAAAACATCTAAAACTTTCACAATAATCTGTTCTCGTCAAGACTTATTCCCATGGAAAGTTTCGAGTCCAAAAGCGAAAATCAATTGTCATGGTATTCGTGATGAGGACCATGGCATTGTGTTGAACAATACCATATAAATGTAATATATCGACAGTAATAAGCTATGGGCTCGAACTCTTTGTGGGGTATTCATAATCCATTTCGTTTCAAGAGAAATAAGTGGTACATCAGACTGATATGGCAGAATTTGAATAGACCTCTTTATTCGGGTACATTATTCAAAATAAATCAAGTTTTCCGTGTTTTCAGCACTTTGCTATATTCTTCAACATAGTCTGTCGTATTGTGTTATATGTACAAAATTAGACAAAAAAAAATGCTGAATTATTCAAGGAAAACAACTTTTGAAATTCAGACACATTGGAATATCGCGGTATTATTTATCTGATTTCAGTCGCTAAGAATTGAGTGTAGCGAAATTCGTGATACGTTCTTGTAGAGAATTAGATCATTTAAAAACAACAGATTTGAGAAAATAACTAGGAAGGACATTTATTTTGATGCATATGTTAGGTTTTTCACTTACTCGATTTGATTCTATTGGTGTTTTTGGTAAAGTTGTTGTATGTTGTTTTACTAATGATTTAGCCGATTTGATTAGATCATAATTTGATTCCTTTTATTATGTTTATATATATATAGATAATAACAAATGAAAGAAATTAAATGATGACTTACTCGTTGAGGTGTCATTACAATTTTACTTACATGAGCATAATCACTTTTCGTAGGTGAATACTAACATATGAAATAAATAATTTAAATAAAACTACGAGAATAATATAAATAGATATAAACTCACACATGGACGACTAAAAGAAGAATTATGTCCATTGGAATTTATTAAATGACTATCACTACCATATACTGACTTTCGTGGTTCTGAATTCCTATAGAAGAAAATTAATTCAACTGTTTAATTTTTCGATAATATATTTTATCAATATAGGTAAAAAAAAGGATAAAAGAAAAAACTATATTTTTTTAAAATTTTAGTATAAAGTCATTCAAAGAGATACATTATTTTATTATTCTCATATTTCGATTTCCTATAAATAAGAGTCAAATTTTAATTCCTTAGTATTCATACCATGAATGTTTATTATTATTATTATTGTTATTTTGTTGTTGCTGTTGTTGTTCGATACTACGACTAGTTGAATATGTTGTTGAAACTAAATATAAATATAATATTAATTCTATATAAAATATCATAGTTCATAATTAACCTGTCGTATCAATATCAGCTTGATCCATTGGATCAGATACCATTTGATGATGCTGAAAAAAATTAAAACAAATATTATAAAATAATGATCAGTTTAATTATTCAATTATTTTACTGTAACAATATTTTGTCTTGAAGGTGTTCGTTGAAGAATAGGTGTTGTTTCTATAGATGGTGGATGACAATCAATTGTTCGACTACGAACTAAATCTCGTGTCTAAAAAGAAAAACAATATTTCAATAATAATTGACTTAAAGAGATCCCTTGCAAAAATTTAACTACAACAGGGTGCATGAGATATTAATGGAAATTTGCATAGATGTTTGGTGCATGGAAGCATATTAATAAAAAAAAAAAATTTTCACGCTGCCAAATCGAAACGTTCAGAAGATTTTCATGAATTAAGCTACAGAATTCGGATTACTTTCATTTGAAAGAGAACTTCTTACTACTTCGGATTAGGGAAAGGGCTTTTTTTAATTTTTACTCTATTTCATTTTTCAAATCATCCAAACTTCAAAAATCTGGAATCTCTAGACATAATTTTCTGGAAAATTCAGGGTTTGTCTAGTATTGACAATTAATTAAAAAGCTTCTTTTCCTCATCTGAAGGACTATGCATATATACACACCACAGCTCTCTAGAAAGGAGTACATCGAGAAAAAATAGAGATAAAGTATAAATATATTACATATCACTCAAAGCACTTGACTATATACATTAGATTCTTCTCATATGGGTATGGTTGAAGAGAAGATCTACAGGCACACCCTCATGTCATTGTAGAACTCGAAAATGTGTTTCTAAGATGCGCAAGATTTGACTAATACTGAAAAAATATTTGTTTATCTTGCAGATCTAACTCTACAAAAAAAAAGAATTTCCTGATAATGAAATATATAAACCTTAGGTCTTGTTTGTTGTAATTCATTATTTGATTCATCTTTTTGTTGTGATGGAGGTTGTTTTACTGATGATGATATATTATTATTGTTATTTATTTGAACACCATATACATTAGCATTAAGACTAGGTACAATAGCCATTGATGAACGATAGAGGTTAGATTCAGATATTTGTTGATTATTTGAAAATGTTTGATATGGATGATGCCAACGATTTTCAACTGTATCTAATGTAAATCGTTTAAGCTTTTTACCCATGTCTTTTGATGATTTTTGATAAATATTTGTTGAATTTTGTTGATTATTATTATAATGATGTTTAGGTCTTAACAAGACTCCATTTGATGCACATCTTAATGTTGGAGATGTTGGTGGCGGTGGTAATGATTGTTGTTGCTGTTGCTGTTGTTGTTGTTGTTGTTGTTGTTGTTGTTGTTGTTGTTGTTGTTGTTGTTGTTGTTGTTGTTGTT